CCTCTAGCCCCCCCGACCCCTTACTCACTGGCACCGGAGACCTTACTCACCAGGGCGAGGGGCCAACAATAGAGACACCCTGTCAGAGATGCCATGGAGGACCCAGCCTCCGGTTGCTTTGCTTTTTTAAACTTTGGGTTTTTTAGACCCCTGGATATCCTAGGGTCTAATTTTCTCCCCACACTGCAAGTTTGCAGCACAGGGAATATTTTTTTGTTCCTGCATGTGCCTGTTGCCTTGCTTCAAAGGGGTTTGAGGCAGGGCAAGAGGCACGTGCGTGCTTGTGTGGACGCTCTCTGTGTGTGTAACCACAATAATACTAATATGACCAAGGAGACCTTTTTTTCGCTTGGCCATATTGAATGCAGTGCATGGAATCAATGGAACTATTCATGGAGTAAGGTGACAGGCAACTTTTATGTAGCAGTCAGACCCAGAAGTAGCAGAAGCCTAGGTAACTTTTGTTACTGCTGCTGAGAGCTGAAATATTAGTCAGTGGTGCTGATGACAATATGAGAGTGATGAATCTAATAAAGGTTTCTTTTATTAACCAGCAGCTGCGAGACACCCAGATTTTGTTTTGTATTTTAGCTTTTTGGCTTTTGTGCATTTCAGTATTTCAGATAAAATAAGATTACGTAGAGTGATAATTGACAAAGCATTTTTGTTACAGCTATATAGGAGGTGAATGGGGGTATTGCAAAAGTTTGTTATTTCTGGTTTCAGCACTTTAGTTTCAGTAACATTGTTTTAAAAATACATCGTTGGCAATTTTAAGATATATATTTTTAAAATGTTAAAAATACTAGAAGAATTCATATAATAAAATTCTATGTGAAGTTTTCCAAAAAGATCCGTTTTTGTCTTGAATTTTATATTGTGCCCACTGCTGGTTCCCAGTTCCAAAGCTGTCATTTCCCTAATTCAGTTTAAATTCCAGTGATTCCAGTTTCTTTTCCTAACATGGATTATTGCTGTGTAATCTGGGTTATATCACTCAGTCATCTCCTACCTCAGTTTTAGCCATCTGTGAATGAGTATAACAATTTGAGTATAACCTTGCCTCATGTGAATGCCATAAAACTTAATAAAATGGAAAGACTTTTGAAATTCTAAGATGGCAGGTTTTCTACAAGTGCCAAAAAAAGTCAATGGGAACTTCTCAGTTTTCTTCATAATTATAGGTAGATTTGGCTACAACCGTATACATGTTTTGAAGATTATAACAATATTTTAAAAGACGTATAGCAAAATTCTTTTGGTACTATGATATCATACTGCACTATGATATGCAGTAGTGAATTATGATAATTATCTGGAAGGTAGAACAGTTAGATAAGTTTTAATCCTTATTAGAAGACTATTTTTTTTCTTATTAGGAATTTAATGATCTACATGTGGAAGCTCTTGCAGTGGTGGCAAATTGTCTTGAAGATGTGGACACTATGCAACTGATTCAGCAGACAGGGGGTCTTAAAAAGCTACTTTCATTTGCAAAAACCTCTACCATACCTGATATTCAGAAGAATGCAGCCAAAGCAATTTCTAAAGCGGCCTATGATTGTATGTCATTCTTAAAGTTCTATTGCTTTTTTTAGTAGAAATCTGTTGGGATAAATATTCATGTAGGCTCAGAATAACTTGCCTGCTTAAGAGTAGTGATTGTGCTGGGAAAAATATGTCCAAAATGACTTGCAGTCACGCAGATCTTAGTAATCAGAAAGCAATCAGGTACGTAAACCTCTAAGATTTTGCCTTGATTCATGTGTAATGTATTAGTGCAAACTACACCCTCTATTCCCCATGGGGAAGTAGCCTGCAAAAATGTAGACCTTTATTTCTACTTTGTGATTTTAGATAACTGTCATCTCATTGGTAGTGATTTTTTTTTACCAAATAGCAATAATTGTGCTAATTTTCCTCTCAGTTTCATCATTATTGACAGTCCTCACAGTCAAGAATGATTGGCTGATAAACCAAATCTGAGATTGACAGGTTCTTCTGCAACTCTGTCACTTGTTTCCATATAGGGTGGGTAGCTCTGGATTCTTGATTCAGTCCATGTCATGCTGTTTCTGTTGCTCCTGCTTTTCCATCTTCTGTTGTTGTGAGGTTTCACAGTACTGAGATCCTTGTAGCAGGCTCTTCCTCTATTTGGCGCAGTCCTGGGTGATAGTTTCCCATGAGTTAATATTGACGTTGCATTTTTTTCAACTTGGCCTTGAGCACATCCATTTAGTGCTTTCTCTACCCTCTTCTTGAGTGTACTGAGGTGGGACAATAAAGCTTGCTCCAGGAGTCTGGAGTCAGACATCTGGATAATGTGGTCAGCCTAGTGATAGATCCATTACTTAGAACCACCACTTGTATACCATCATGGAGCAGGAAAAGAATGATGATGAATTTTGGTGGGCATCCTTACTTCAGAACAATCCTCCACAGTACTTCTCGGTTGACAAGAGTCGAAGGCTTTCATATGGTCAAAGAAGGCCATGTTGAGAGGTTTATGTTGTTCCTTGCATTTTTCCTGTAGCTGGCGAGCAGTGAAGATCATATTAGTTGTGCCTCTTGCTGCCCTAAACCCACACTGAGATTCTGGGAGTAGCTCCTCAGCAAGTGGAAGGACATGGTTCAGGAGAGTTCTTGTAATGACCTTTTCTATGGTGGGCAGCATGGTGATCCCTCTGTAATTTCCAGTTGGACCTGTCTCCCTTCTTGAAGATTGTTATGATCATGGTGTCCCTAAGATCATCTAGGATTCCTCATCATTTTGGATCCTTAAAATGAGGGCATAGAGCTGTGATGCAAGTTCCGCTCTGTGCTGCTTGAAATTTTCCATCAGCTCCAAATGCCTTGTCATTCTTCATCTGCTTGATGGCTTTCCTCACCTTGTCAAGGCTTAGAGGGATTCCGAGATTGTCTCTGACTGAGTGTTGTAGGGTAGAATTGAGAGCACTCTCATCAACAACAGAGTCTTGATTGAGAAGGTCTTCAAAATGCTCCTTCCGACTGACATTGATGGCTCCACTTTCCTTGGTCAGGTCTTCTCCATCCTTAGGTTCCAAAAGGGGTTGGTCCCCGAGTACTCGGACTGTAGATGGTTTTGGTAGCACTAAAGCAACCATGCATGTCATGGATGTCAGCAAGATGTTGAATCTCCTTTGCTGCATCTTCCAACCATCTGTTCTTCATATCATGGCTTCATATACTTTGTACTTCTACCTTGGCTTCTTGGAGATTACATTTCTTCTCTTGGAGTTAGTATCATTTTGCCAAGCACAAAAGGCCTTGTGCTTGTGGTCAATCAGCTCTTAGGTCTCCCAGACATTCTCATCCAACCAGTCTTGGTGTTTCCTGGTAGATAATCCAAGTGTCTCTTTGCAGGCCCTGATGATGGTGGACTTGAAGACACCCCAAGTGCTGCTGACATCCTCCTATTGTTGTTGATTGAAATTCACCAGTTTTTTGTTGAGGTGCTGGTGGAAGGAGGTCTCACTTGATTGAGTCTTTGAGTCCTTCAACATTGACCTTCTGTCAGCACTGATTCTGCTGCAGCCATTGTTTGGGAGACAGTTTGAATGACATAAATGAAGAGATGAGGCAGTGATTAATCCAGCAATTGTCAGCTCCTAGCATAACTCACATCATGCAGACATCTTTGTGATCCTGGGCACAAACAATTGTTACACAAATTGCCAATTGTTCAAATCATGAGCAAGACCTTATGAGGAAGGATAAGGCAAGATGCCATGTTTATTGATTAAGCACTTAATACACACACATACACACACCACATACATACCCCAATTTCTGTTCTGCACTGGTATACGTTACCAGTCTTATCGGTGCTCAGATCAACTTAGTGGCCAGCCAAGTTGATCACGAGCATGCTGGCTCCTGCCAGTCCATGTCGTCAGACAAACCAGTGCTTCAGGATGACATGCAGAACAAGACCCAAAATCAGTATGTCTCACCTCATCTTTAATAGCCTTGTCAATTCACCCAGTCCTCTGAGCTTTTGCTGGGTTATCACCGTGTTCTTTCTTGAAGGCTGATTGCCGTTGTTCTCTCACTGTTCTGGGGTGGATTCTTCTTGTTTGGTCTTTTATTTTTATGCATTCTTCAGCCAGTCGCCAGCTGATGTTTTCCTTTTCCACAAACACAGTCTCACCCATACAGCATACAAAAGAATAAAAGGTTGAGCACTTATGTTAAGCTACCGAGCAATACAAAATGGAGTTTCTTAAGGCAATGAAAAACTCAAGAAAATACATAGTATTAAAAGCAATAGGCAAAAGTCTTATTTCCATATTATTTACCTAATATCAAGCTGGTATTTATGCTATTTGCATAGCACAATGATGTAGTCAATCAAGTGCCAATGCTTAGATTTTGGGTGTTGCCATGATGTCTTGTACCAGTTTTTCTGGCAGAACAGGGTGTTGGTGATAGTGAGCCCATGTTCTGCACGTTTGGTCAAGAGGAGGATGTAATTGGAATTGACCTTTCCAAATTTTTCCTTGCCAATCGTTCCATTCCAGAGGTTTGAGCACTTACTCTAACATTGAAATCATAGGATTTGGCATAGAATTCCTCCTTGGTTTCATTGTTGGTGTCTAGAGTCAGGGCATATGCACTGATGACAGTGGTGTATTGGCTCCCAGCCAATTTGAGATAATGAATCATGAGGTGCTCATTAATTCCAATAGGGAACTCATTGAGTTGGTTTATGAGTTCATTCTTAATGGCAAAGTCAGCTCCTTGAAGTCGGTGTTCTCCTTCCTGTTTGCCCTTCCTGTTGACTCTATTCATCCAAGTGCTAGACCTTCTTGTAACTGCTGTCCTCATGCCAGTTCATGACTAGGAGCTCCAGGCTTCACAGTCCTACTCCCATTGTCACTAGCTGGTCGCTGAAGGGCTTGAAAAATGTGCTAAAGTCATTTTCATGGAAGATGCCTGAGTGTCATTTCTTCTATCATGGACAAGTTGTTGCACATCAGCTTTCATATGGTTCTTGAAAGAATGGGACCTTGATCCAATGGCAAGGAGGCCAAGACAACTGGAGTTCCCATTCCGCTGCAGCCTTTGTCCACCTTTGTAGCCATTGAGATTCTAACATCATCTTCTGCCTGCTCTGCTGTTGAGGACTTGTAGACCAAGGGCTGGGGTCTGGACAGACTTATTATAGGATGCTGACAGATGTGCAGCTCCCTGGTCTAACTTATGGCACTTCACAGAAAGCACTGTTAGACTGACCTTCCCAACCCAACAGATGTTTCCTCTTGGGTCTGGAGTTTGGGGGATTAAGCTCTGCTTTGGAGCTGATCTAGCTGAGGAACTGCATGCCTGCAGCTTCTCTCCCCTACCCCCATCTCCCCCCTCCCAGCTCCAGTGCTGTATGCACAATGGGAGGGGGAGAGAAAGGAGGGGAGGGAGCTGAGGCTGGGTTTGTCCAGCCTGTGCTGGAGTGAGGGCAGGTGGATTGGAGGCCTCCCAAGGCAGTGGATTGGAGCACCAGATGCAGACAGAAGGTCACCCAAGCAGACAGAAGGTAATGAAGTCATTCCACTTGCAGTACTTCCATCTGAACCCTCATATAATGAGGGTAAATTTGTCATGTGATAGGGGACTTTAACACTCTGCAGCTGTGCACTTTTGACAGAGCTCTGCAGTTGTGCATTTCTGACAGAACGCTTTCAAGGGGTCAGTCACACAACAAATGTAACTTCTGTCTGAGCCTGTAGTGGCAACCTGTATTCACCATGTCACAGCACTGTCAGAGGATATATGTGGCTTTTCAGAAGGGAAAGCGCTGCCATCTGTTCTCTCCACCACAACCTGGTGTTGCTGCTGATGTTTGGTCCACAACTGCTTATTTGTCAGATTTACCCCTGCTTTTTTCACAGCTGACCTTCCCTGAAGGTCATTCCACTATCCACCACCTATGTGGATGTGCTGGGTAGCAGCACAGCTCTGCCACCAGGCCTCAGTCTACAGTACTTCATCGAAATGCCAGGCAAGTTACTAGAGCAGTTCCTATAGTAGGGAAAAATTAGACTTTAAAATGTCCTGCAATTAAAATACTCAGTAGAATTAAACAGTTTCATTGTTATCATTTTATAATTATTCATTTCATGGTTCCTACTTTTAACAGTTTTTTTTTCTTTAATTCACTGTAGAATTCTGAATTATGCAGAATGTATTCATCACTTTTGCCCATGTGGATGCTATCTAAATAAGTCTACTTTTGAAGTTACTTCCATACAGTAACATTTTGAGCTATAATCTAAGCTTGGTAGTGCTATATAACAAATTATAAGAAGCAATGTACTGTACATAGTATGATCCTAATTCTATCCAGGGATTGTGCTGACATAGACCAAGACAGCAGAACTCAATATTTTTGTTCAGAGTGGAATTATAACTTTAATTTATGTACATTTTGCAAATATATTATCTAAATTAATATATGTTTAGAAAAAAATATTTTTCTCCCTCTGCTGTATTACAGATCTCTTCCTTTTCTCACTTTACATATGTTTTCAATTCCTCCATCTTCTTCC